CCAAGTCAAAGTCCTGACCTTAAGCCAGCAGAAATGTTGTTAAATGTCCTGAAGTGAGCAGTTCATGTGTGGAAACCAACCATCTCAAAGATGAATGTGTTCTGATCAAATTTCTGACCATTCTGATCCGAATGGGTTAAAATTCTTCCACATTGATGTGCAGGACTGATAAGCAGCTACTGCGGCACAAGTTGGCTGCACCAGATACTGAAGCAGAGTTTCTCATGCCTTTTCTTCCTCACATATCTGTGAGAATCTATGTAAAGTCTGTTTTGGTTTCATTTGTTATTTTTTTTATTTACACATATATTCACAACATATAGCTGTTGTCAATAGTGAGACTTGCTATATTGACATTTAAAATGAGGGATGACACAGAAGGTTAGCCCCCAGCTGCCTGATGTCATGTATCGGTGATCTGTTCAGTCCTACACAACTGAAACTAGTCAGCCTTATGAAGAAGTGTGCACATGTCCACATGCATACATAGCACATACACTGTTATTTTGCCTTGAAGCTCTCAGCCCACCACCTTAGTGTTTGACCCTGACAAACTCAGTATTTGCTGTTGCCACTGGCAGCAAAATTAATTGCAAGCGATATGGGCTTATTCAAACACATACCAAGGATCTAGTTCCCAATTGCTCATTTCCTGAGTGGAGTAGCTATTTCTTGGTACTCTAACTTGTGCTTTCTTTTTCTTTTCTTAAAAACATTGGTAGGTTATTATTTATTGTAGCTGGAGAGTGTTGATATGGTAGACTTACATTAATTCTGTGTTTTTTCCCACCTTTAATTTCTTTTATGAAATAGAGACTTACAAATGTAAATGAAGGGACAGAATACATGATCTCACTTTATATGCATAGTCCTCTTAAAAGAACAATTTTAAACCCCCTTCTTTTCTTCCACATCTACTTTTTGTAAACTCAAGAGAGTGAGTCTTTCCATTATGAGTTTTTTTTGTTTTGTTTTTTTTATCTGGAAAATGATCCTGTGCTCACGGTTCTATTCCCGAGGTTCTCGTTCTACATCTTTCAGTTGCTATTAATTGGATTTTTGCCCAGTGATTGTGCATCACATTTCAAAAAGACGCTTGAATATATCCTAAAAATTTTTTGTTTCATTTCGTTTACTGAAACAGGTATTTTCTGGCATTTCTTAAACACAATCTCCTGCAAGGATGTGCGTCTGGATCAGTGATACACATCATGAAAAGGCTTTTCAGGCTTGAGCTTTAAGGAAGTCTTTGGTGATACAATAAATTTATTGTTGGCTTTTCTTTTTTTTATTTTTTTATTTATTGGTTAAAAAAAAAAAGAGAAAGATTCAGATTTATTCTTGATGTGTTTGAAGCTAGACTTTAGGGTGATCAGTGTGTTTGCTGTCCGTGTAATGAAAATGTTCCACTTTGCTGTTTAAAAACACACAAAACAAAAATGCTGTATGTGAAATGACACCTATCAGCCAGCACTCTGTGTGTCCACAGCTTTGTCTCACTGAGCTGTACGTACCACAGGCTGATGTCTGCTGATATGGAAATGCATCTGTTAAGCAGATTAAAGTCTTGTAGTGCTTTGCTGATCAGTCTATAAATGGTTTACCATCTTTTGCATTATCGCATCAGTGAGGGTTTGTTTGAATGAGCTCCTGATTAGGATTTAGATGAAATGGTATGGTATTATTCAGTGTCACTAAAATCCAAATATAACATTCTCCTTTCAGAGTTCAGTTTGCCATCCATGTGGGCTTTTCTGACTGTCCGTAATCATTAAAATTATATCCCAGACTGCCATGAGGAGCATTCATATAATATGGATCTGTATTGTAGCTTCAGAGGAAGAGATGATGATGATTTCACATTTCTCAGTTTCTTTCCCATCAGAGATATGTGCAAATATTATATTTCAGTAATTGAACATGTAGCAGTGATTGAAGTATTCCTCGTACTGTGTAATCAAATTATCCACTGAGGCTGTGTCTCTAATTGGGTTCAGATGTTTAGCACGAATTTTAGTTTAGTGGGGCTAAAACTGGCCGTTATTTATCGTTGTGATTTATTCAGCTTTAAAAAGGAGGGAACTACGCAGAAACAAACTCATTAGAAAGAACTACTGCAGGCGGTTTGGTTTGATTGAATAGGTTGACCGGAATAACTTTTTAGAAGAATCTTTTATGTATGCTGGCCTCCTACAGCTTGTTAACATATGGAGATTTGGTTCTTTTATGGCATTAAGATGATAAATGAGTTTCTCA